CTAACTTACGAGTTTTTTATTAAAACGTTACATACCGCTATATTGGCTAGGCCACAAATATATTTGTTGTGGGCTGCGGGTTTGACATGCTTGATCTAAACTATGCCTTTTTATTCATCCCCTCCCCCTTAAAGATTCTGATTAAAGGTGAAAGAGAATATATTTTTCAAGGTTTCACTGCTCATTACCAGTATTACTAATATAAAATAGTTGTGATTGCAATTTTTGGTATAGTATCTTTACAGATTTTCTTCGATTTTTTTAAAAATTAAATTTATTGGGGTGACATTGGTCAACATGAACATACAGGTTTCAGGTGTGGGTTTCTATGTTGCAAGATCTGTGTATTGTATGATGTACTCACCACCCAAAGTCAGATCTTCTCCTGTCAAAATATATTAGGACCCTATTATATATATTAAGACCCTCTTCTCCTCCTCTCTTCCCAGATTTTCTTCAATTCTAATGTGTAATAGAATTGTTAAATTTTTTTTTTTAATATATATTTTATTGATTTTTTACAGAGAGGAAGGGAGAGAGATAGAGAGTCAGAAACATCGATGAGCGAGAGACATCGATCAGCCGCCTCCTGCGCATCCCCCACTGGGGATGTGCCCGCAACCCAGGTACATGCCCTTGACCGGAATCGAACCTGGGACCTTTCAGTCTGCAGGCCGACGCTCTATCCACTGAGCCAAACCGGTTTTGGCAGAATTGTTAAATTTTTAACGATTTGAACATAATATTGAAACTAGGTCATATCTCAGTAAAACAGATCTTTTGGTATAAACTTGACAACTGTGATTCTACCAACTTTTTTTATCTTCTTGCTCATACTTATTTGGGAATAGAATCTTTATGTAATGTTTTGTAAAGCCCCCACTGCCATGAGCATTATTTACCGGGAGCTTCTGCATCCTTATAGTATGTGACTGATCTAAAGTATTCCTTGTTGTTGTTGTTGTTGTTGTTGTTGTTGTTGTTGTTGTTGTTGTTGTTGTTGTTGTTGTTGTTGTTGTTGTTGTTGTTGTTGTTGTTGTTGTTGTTGTTGTTGTTGTTGTTGTTGTTGTTGTTTTTTGAATCCTCACTCAAGGATATGTTTATGGATTTGAGAGAGAGAGAGAGAAAGAGATCCATGTGAGAAACATTGATCAGTTGTCTCCTGTACCACCAGGGGAATGAACCCAAAACCTGGATATGTGCCCTAACTGGGAATCGGACCTGCCACCTTTTGGTATTCTGGACAATGCTCTAACCAACTGAGCCACACCAGCCAGGGCTGTATTATTATTATTTTTTTAATGAGAGAAAGTTTATTGAGAAAGTCACAGAAGTAGAAGTGAACTATAGAATCAATGGGCTTAGGAAACAAGTTACAGAGGCAAAAGAAGGGCCCTTGGAGCTTAGGAGAAAGAGACAAGGACAAGATGGGGGCGGGGGAGGGAGTGGGGAAGGTGTCTTGTGCTCCAAAGTGAGAGCCAACCCTTGGGATTTTTTTTGGCGGGGGTGCGGTGCTCTGGCCAGTGCTCTAACCATTTAGCAACACCGGCCAGGGCCACCCCTTATATGCTTAACTCTCAGTTAAAGCATCATAAACACATGAGCTTTGTTTCCTCAGCTTACCAGAAGTGCCTTTACTGGTCGATGTGCCTTGTTTATCTGCTCAGTTGGATGACTCAATTCTTAACATAGTGAAAGACCACATTTTTAAGCATGGAACCGTAGCATCTCGCCCACCAGTACAGATAGAAGAACTAATAGAGAAGCCTGGAGGCATCATTGTGCGATGGTGTAAGGTCAGTAATTCAGAATTATAGAAGTGGCTTCAACATCATGGATTTGAGATTTGGGGGCCTTAAATTTTTTCTCTTAAATTTGTTTTTATTGATTTCAGAGAGAGTAAGGGAGAGGGAGAAGGGGATAGAAACATCAATGATGAGAGAGAATCATTGATTGGCTGCCTCCCACACACCTCCCACTAGGGATCAAGCCCTATACCCAGGCATGTGCCCTTGACCGGAAATTGAACCGTTACTTCTTGGTTCATGGGTCGAGACTCACCACTGAGGCACACAGGCTGGGCAGATTACTTTTTTGATAAACTACCTTTGAATATTTTCTTCTCTTCATAAAAATCCTTTTTGCTTTACAATTAAAGTTACAGGGATCTTGAACTGCAGTAGCTCTTCCAGTTTGAGATAAACAGTTTTGAAGGTACTTTTTAGAATCCCTGAATCACTGCATTGTTTCTCAGTTGAAACTTCCTGAGTTAAGGACTGCTCCCATTTCTGTTTTTTAGGAGAGTCAAATGATGATAGTGAATATTGGGTGTCTGATAGCTTTCTGGTCAACACTCAACTTATATCTCTGAAATAAAATGTCTAAAGAATGATTTCTTCACACTCTCAGCATTGCTGAGATTTTTGTGTGTTAAATTGGTTATATAGATGAGCTGCCATATTTTTATTTTATTTTATTTTATTTTTATTAATCCTCACTGGATATTTTCCTTTGATTTTTAGAGAGCGTGGAAGGGAGGGGGAGAGACACATCGATGTGAGGGAGACACATCAGTTGGTTGCCTTCCACACGAGCCTTGACCAGGGCTGGGGATGGAGCCCACAACCAGGGCATGTGACTGGGAATGGAACTGTGACCTCCTGGTTCATAAGTCGATGCTCAACCACTGAGCCACGCCGGCTGGGCTAGTTGTGGGATTCTTATCCTTGAATTTTTAATGTTTTATCCTTGGCATTATTGTGTAGAAATCATGCCATTTCATCAAAGAAAGCAGATTTTTTCATATCAGATTGGGAGGTCTAAACACATGGTTCAATAAAGAAAAGAAGGGACGCAATGATGGAATATTTCCCCTGACCTTCCTAAGAAGAGCCTGCATTGAGTATATTCAGCACATGGGCTTGTATGCTTGGCCCAAAATGCCACATTCTAAGTTCTTTTTTTATTTATTTTTTATTTTTTTTATTTCAGAGAGGAAGGGAGAGGGAGAGAGAAACATCAATGATGAGAGAATCATTGATCAGCTGCCTCTGGCACACCCCTTATTGGGGATTGAGCATGCAACCTGGGCATGGGCCCTTGACCAGAATTGAACCTGGGACCCTTCAGTCCACAGGCTGACGCTCTCTCCACTGAGCCAAACCGCCGAGGGCCGCATTCAAAGTTCTTATGCAGTGATGCGGAGAGAAATTTTTCTCTGACTTTTACCTAACACAAAGTCTTTCTCCTTAGGTGGATGACGACTTTACAGCCCAAGATTACAGACTCCAGTTTCGTAAATGTACTTCGAATCATTTTGAGGATGTATATGTAGGCTCTGAAACTGAATTCATAGTGTTACACATAGACCCCAATGTTGATTATCAGTTCCGAGTCTGCGCCCGAGGAGATGGCCGACAGGAGTGGAGTCCTTGGAGCGTCCCCCAGATAGGTCATTCCACGTTGGTGCCGCATGGTATGCCCTTGCCTTCTCACTTCTGAGCTCAACTGTGTGTGTGTAGGAACACTTGTCTTCTGTGCTCAAGGCCGCACGCTGCCCACCCTTGTTTCTGAGGCTAACCCCTGGATTGATGAGAACAACACTGGATGTGTCTTTTACTTCCTGCTCACATTACTTCGTGTGACTTTTACAAAGAATTCAACAGTTCTTATCTGCAGAGTCTAAAATAGTGCCACCCAGGATTGGTAGCATTCCCTAAAACCACAGATTTTAAATACTGCACCAGGAAACTTCAGGGTTTTTTGTTTTTTTTAAATACATTTTTATTGATTTCAGAGAGGAAGGGAGAGGGAGAGAGAGATAGAAACATCAGTGATGAGAGAGATCATTGATTGGCTGCCTCCTGCACGCCCCCCACTGGGGATCGAGCCCGCAACCCAGGCATGTGCCCTTGACCAGAATTGAACCCAGGACCCTTTAGTCTGCAGGCCAATGCTCTATTCACCGAACCAAACTGGCTAGGGCGTGGAAACTGCAGTGTTTGATCCAAACCTTCAGTGTATATCTGAGTAGAGGCTTTTTCTCAAAAGCTGTATGGTTGACGTTGATCCCTTCTATATTACTAGTTTAACAGATTCAATCTCATTTGTTAATTAGTTCTTAATCAGGTTGGAGTAAGCTCAAATATGATTTTATCAGATAGGCCCGTGGTCGGCAAACTGCGGCTCGAGAGCCACATGCGGCTCTTTGGCCCCTTGAGTGTGGCTCTTCCTAAGCCTTAGGAGTACCATAATTAAGTTAATAGCAATGTACCTACCTATATAGTTTAAGTTTAAAAAATTTGGCTCTCAAAAGAAATTTCAATTGTTGTACTGTTGATATTTGGCTCTGTTGACTAATGAGTTTGCCGACCACTGAGATAGGCTATAACACTTTTATCTTCCATGCCAAAAGAATAGACTGAAAGTGTTTTTATGGTTTGTAGGATGAACCATAATACCCTATCATGGAAGAATCTTTTATTAAACTTTCTCATGACCTCTAAGAGAAGTCTCTTCTACTTCCACGTCTTTTTTAATGTGTCTGTACTGAAGCTAGTCCTGAACAGATCCTAATAATTCCCAATGTCTTTGCTTTTTAAAAAGAATGGACAGCTGGCTTTGAGGGGTACAGTCTGAGCAGTCGAAGAAATATAGCACTCCGGAATGATTCGGAATCCTCAGGTGTTCTCTACTCCAGCGCTCCGACCTACTTCTGTGGGCAGACGTTAACATTCAGGCAAGTAGATCTGATAATACCTGTCTGTTGTGGCTGAGGCAGGATAGTGAGTGCACAGAACAAAGATAAGCTTCAGACAAAATTGTCCTGAGGTTGTCCCATCATTTATAGGCAGTGGTACTTTGAGGAGATTTCTTTATTCTCTTTGCTTTCTCATGTATTCATAGGGTTATTATGAAGATTAACTGAACATAAAATGCATTGGTTATGTTTGATACATAGTATGTACATATTATGTTTAGGTCTCTCTTCTTCTTGGTAAATAGAGGTAAGTAGAATACCTCTCAAAAGTCAACCTTAAAAAAATTTAGAGGCACAGAATTTTCTTTTTGTAGTTTTGAATCAATCAGACCAGGTCTCTATGAGAGACAGCCTATCTGTGTAAACTGCTACTACCAATTAATTTTCTATTTCTTTACCTATTTCTTCCTGTATTAGAAAATTTTTCTTTTTTGTGTTTTTATGTTATTTAGAAGTACTGTCTATGTGGTCATATTTCTAAATAGCTCTTCCTAGAAACCAAAGCTCAGTTTTGATTTAGAAAAGTAAAGCTTGCCTGATGTTCACCATACTCACAGAGTAGCAAACTCTCTTCTAAGTTTTACCTCTTTTTAAAAAAAAATATGTTTTTATTGATTTCAGAGAAAGGGATAGAGAAGGAGAGAGAGATGGAAACATTTCTGATGAGAGATAATCATTGATGCCCCCTATTGGGGATCAAGCCCAAAACCCGGGCCTGTGCCCTGACCGGGAATTAAACCGTGACCTAGTTCGTGCTCAACCACTGAGACACACCAGCCGGGCTGAGTTTTAACTCTTGAGATAATGAGATTTCATTGTGAATCTTTGTTCAAGTTCCTCCTGTTCTGTGCCTTGTCCTATAAGGCATGTACAGCATCTGAAATATTATTTAAGCCAATATTGCCATGTTCTTCACCAGCCAAGTCATTTGAACTGTCAGCAGTTATCAGAATGTACTAGTTATGTGTCCTCTCATTTTTATACCTCCTCTCACCTCTTATATTAAGTTGTTATTAAGTCATCCTTTCTTTATAAAGTAAGGGGTGAGAGGAAGTATCAAAGAGAGAAAAATAAGGAGTCTAGTGCCTCAAGTCTATTTAATTATTCCCCAGGTAATCATGAGATTTCTGTACTAACATACCCCCTCTCTGTTTATTTCTCTTCTTTTACAAAAATACTTGCATTAGTGACTCTCCTGAGAACAAGGTTCTTCTATGTAATGGTAGGGCTTCCTGAGTTGATAGATTTAAGTCAGATGTCTCAGACCATAATAAGAAAAATAATCATAGAAATAATAATTGTAGTTAATATTTCAATAGCATTTACTATGTGCCAGGTACTGTTCTAAACATTTTACTTGTATTGTCACCAGATAGGGACTGGGCCGGGAATGGGTCTGCCTCAGGCTGGCCTGTGGTGTGTGGGTTCTTGACTTTGTGCAGGAAAGATTTCATAATATGAGTCCAGGTGATTCTGAGGGTTTGTATATTAAAGCTGGGGGACCGTGAAACAGGAAGGGCTTAGGGTAGAAGAAGCAGCAGGAGAGAGCCTAGGCCAGCTGTGGGCAAACTACGGCCCGTTTGAAATGAATAAAACTAAAGAAAAAAAAGACTGTACCCTTTTATGTAATGATGTTTACTTTGAATTTATATTAGTTCACACAAACACTCCATCCATGCTTTTGTTCCGGCCTCCGGTCCAGTTTAAGAACCCATTGTGGCCCTCGAGTCAGAAAGTTTGCCCACCCCTGGCCTGGGCAGTGCTCGGCTGTGGCTCCCTAGAAACATTACGGGAAAGAAGTGAGCTAGCACAGGGCTTCTGTTAGCTCACTGGGAGGTGAAGGTCACGGTGATAGAAGTGAGCTAGCACAGGGCTCCTGTTAGCTCACTGGGAGGTGAAGGTCACGGTGATAGAAGTGAGGCGGAGCAGAGCTGTTGTTAGCTCACTGGAAAGTCAGAGAAAAGGGGACCTTGGAGACAGGATCGGGGGTAAGCCCAGGACGAGCTGTCCCTGCCGACCACTTCCCTGGTTGCAAGTCTCGTGGGGACCCTTAGTCTTTAGGAGGAAGTAAAAAGTTCATGCCCGCGAAGAGGCATGGGTGTGCTCTAGAGCGAGCTGGCACTGGTGTTTTTGTCTTGAGGGTTTATCTCTCTTGTGCTTGTGAGAATTTTAGGGGAGGGTTTCATCAGAATATTCATCAGCCTGCCAAGTGTGATTATAATATGCTGATGCCTCACAATGAGTGTGTAGGGGAGTTTGGGATTATTCTTTGGTCTGCTTTACTGTTTTACTTTTATCTTGGGTCTGTCTGGCTCTACTCGGGGTTTTGTTATTTGTTCCCTGAGTTTATCTGTCCTTGGGTTTGGCTGGCACAAATGGCATTAATTGGGTCTCTGTCCTCTATCTCCCTGACCAGCATGATTTAAGCTATTTATTCTCTGGTAGGGAGGAGAGGTATAAAGCATTTGCTCTCAAGTGCCCTTGGTTAGGGAAGATAAGGTCTTGCGATTCACTAGCTGTCTGTAAGTTGTCTAAGCTGTTTGGCCTTGTTTAATGACTGTGTCTCAGTTTCTCTATTCCACTTGCCCAGGAATGTTCCTAGCTTCTTACTATCCTGCCTCAGGATTAACTCATGTGGTTCTCACAATAACCCAGTGAAATATGTGCAGTTACTCATATTAAGGATGAAGATGCTAAGTCATGGAGAAGTCGCTCACCCACTGTCACGTAGCTAGTAAATGGCAGAGTTAGGGTTTAAATCCAGGCAGTCTGGCTCCAGAGTCTGTGATCTTAATGGCTGGTCTCTGTTGCTTCTTGTTTGTCTTCCTGGGAGAGTAAAGATGATTCTAATTAGTGCTGAAATCTATAGTTTTCCTGTTACCGTAGCCTTAGTTCTTTTTCCTCTTCAGTGACCATGGTCTGTGGTTGATGGTGTCCTGCTTTTAAATCCTTTCTCTTTGAACACAGAAAAGGTCTGATAGATGGCACACGTAGGTTTCTTTCTTAAGCCATTCAATGACTATCTGCTGATTTAATTTAAATCCTCTTACTGTCTGCGGACTGCCGGGCTCAATAAACCATTCGTTAGTTCCTGCCTCCTCCTCCATAGATGCCAGACGGGGCCGCTCTTGGCAGGGTAATTATCTGAATCTGTTAAGCTCAGTATTATCTTAGCCAGACCTTTACATTTTTGTCATTTTTTTTCTCTGAATGGGAAATGAAAATGTTTTCTCTCCCTGTTTAAAAGAATTTCAGGCATCAGCAATTAAGTCAGAAGATGTGAGTTGGGGCCGGGGCGGGGGGGACCTCCGTGTAGGAGGTAGGCAACCATAGGCCTACTTAATAAAGGTAAACTTTACCTTTTTTAGGGTGTTTGAGGGCCTCTTAGAAGGGAGATTGTATTCCTGTAGGCACTGCCCTGTTGCTCAGCCCAGTCTACTTCCTGCTGCAGTTTCTGCAATGCTTCGAGCTGCTGAAGCCAAAGAAACCAGTCACTGGCTGCCTCTTAACCGTCTCTACAGCCTAGTTTCATTTGGTGCCCAGGTCTGCTAGCAACCCGCTCCTTCCAGGCCTCTCCCCGATTTCCTGTTGGAGCATTCCTGATTTCCCTTTCCTTCTAAGATTTCCTGTCTTACTATTTTTCAGCTGTATTTTTACTTTCTCTTCTCTACTACCTCTTTTCTTTAAAATAGCTTCCTTTCAAACAGCCTTCCTTAATCCTAATAGCCTCAGAAGTTGTTGTCTTCCTTTTATAGATAAAGAAACTAAAGCACAGAGACTGACTTGTCAGTATTCAAATGCTGGCCATCTAGTCCCAAAGTCTGTGTTCTTAACCACTGCGTACCCTGCCTGGGGCAAGTAACGTGAGGCAGTTAATCAGGGGCAATAAGCTAGCTATTTTTAATAATAACCTTTCCCTTCAAAGAACATCCAATTCATTGTTCCGTTTTTCTGTTGTTGTGTAGCAAACCACCCCAAAACTTAGAGGCTTAAAACAGCAACAGTCATCTGTTTGCTCAGGAAACTGTAATTTGCAGAGCTTGGCAAGTGCAGGCATCTCTGCTCAAGTGTCCTACTCCCCACCCCCCAACCCCCACCTCTGTTATTTCAAGTACCTACCTGGCACCATATGTAGTTACTATTGACTGTATTCCTTAGGCTGTACTTGACATCCCCGTGACGGTTTTGTAACTACAAAGACTGTTTCTTGGACTTTTTACTGTCTATTTTCTTTCTGTCTTAAAACTACTTTTCTAAACTCTAAGGACAGTTCGGATCAACTCGTCTTTTAAATGAGGCTGATTGTTTCATCCCCCTTATTCCACTCCGATGGTATTTACAGTACATGATATTGGCAGGAGCACCAAGTTTAAGAAACAGAGAAAACCAGAAACTTTGGCTCCACGTAGAGCAGGCAGCTTATAAATTAGTATAAGAATTATCCAGACTCCGAGGAATCTAGAGGAGGGAAAGTTACTTCTAGGTAAGGGTTGGTAAAGGCTTTTTCTCAGGCAGAGCTGGAAAGGACAGTTCAGGGAAACAAAGCAAGACAAAACATAGACTAGAAAAAATACAAAGAACAGCAAATAAAGCATATGTCTGGGTTAACAGAGATGGGAAGTTAATCAGAAAGAACCCCAGGAAGGTAACATATTCTTTTGGACAGGCTTTGTATGATTTTTCTTTAATTCCTCAAAGAAATGCTTCTTTTGGAGGTCACCTGTACTCATTAACAAGGAGCTCCCCCCCAACAAAAGGCTTCCGCAAGTAAAACCAAATCAGGTTTATATTCTACTAGTGACCCAGTGCACAGATTCGTGCACATTGAAAGGAAATTAATTAGAAGGTGGCTGACTGGGCGAGGGCGAGACTGGGCGAGATGGGCCAGATACACCCTGGAGCTAACCTCCCTCGGTCCCTCCTTGGCGTCTACAGAGTGAGCAGGGTCCCTCTGGCAGGTAGGATCCCTTAGCCTAATCTGTGGGTATCGGGCCTAAACCGGCAGTCCGACATCCCCCAAGGGGTCCCGGGGTTCGAGAGGTCACTCTGCAAATTTGCTGACGTACAGGGTGTGGAACACAAATGCAAGTGTGCAGTAAACCAGATTCTGGGCTGACAGTGCCCCAGCAACAACATAACTCACGACCAAAGGTGGAATCGTGCAGCCCAGCAAGGAATTGGGCTCCCTCCTATCTGGTTTTGGGGTGCATCACCCGAGAACCGCTGCTGCCAAGTCACTGCAGCTTGGCAGCTCCTGCATTGAGCGTCTGCCCCCTGGTGGTCAGTGTGCATCATAGGACCGTTCGGAGAGTCGGAGGGACACCTAGCATATTAGCCATATATATATATAATCTTAGGGTTCATGAATTTACAAGTGAGCTAGACCAACAGTTGCCAATAGGTGGTCGGTGAGGTCCAAAAGGTTGGTGACCGCTGAACTAGACTATCTATATATAAAAGCCTAAGTGACTGGCTGACTGGCCAACTGGCCGGTAGCTATGATGCGCAATGACCACCAGGGGACAGACGCTCAATGCAGGAGCTGCCGAGCGACAGCAACTTTGCAGGGTGCCCTTCCTCTCTTAAATCAATAAACATATTTAAAATTAAAAACAAAACAAAAAAAAGAGCAGCGAATCTTTTCTACAGTGGAGGAAAACACACCAGCAAAAATATTACCAGAAATGAGGAATAAACCATAATCAGCATTCTAATATTAATTGTAAAAAGAGTTGAATGAGTTGGCCAAACTGAAGGTTAAGAGCACAGTCCTCCAAAAGATCACCCTCTCTTCAGATGGGTCACGGGTGGCTTCAAATTTCTGGGAGTCCCACAGCCACCTTCAGGTTCTATAATTCACTAGAATGACTCACAGAACTCGGAAAGCCCTGCACTTATGGTTTCAGTTTTACTATAGCAAGAGGACACAAATCAGAACCCACCGAAGGGAGAGATGCATAGGGGCAGGTCTGGGAAGGTTCCAAACATGAAGCTGTTGTTCGCAGCATGACCGTAGGCAAGGAGTATTGCGAACCAAGGTGTCCAGTTTTTATTGGGGATTTTTTATGTTTGCTTAAATCATTCCCCGCTTGACTCAGCATTCACCTTCCCTGCCCTCCCAGGAGACTGGGCTGATCTTCTGTAGCTCAAAGCCTCAAACCTCTGATCACGTGACTGGTCTCTCTGGGGTGACCTGCTCCCATGCTGAATCATGCTGTTAGTATCCACTATCGAGGGGCCCACCCTGCAGACCTTATCAGACTTAGTTGTTCCAATTAATGTTCTTTATAGAAAAGATAATCTTGCATCACGTGTTATAATAGTCGTCTCTTTAGTCTCTTTTGATCTGGGACAGTTTCTCCATTTCTGAATCTTTTAACTTTTATGACATTGGACAATTTTGAAGCATACAGACCAATTATAGAATATCCCTCAATTTAAGCTTGTTTAATGTTTCTTAATGACTTGGTTCAGGTTATGCATCTTTGGCAGGAATAATATAGAAGTAATATTGTGTTCTTCTCACTGAATTGAATTCTTTAGGATGTGTACCCAGAAGTGAAATTGCCCAATCATGTGGTGGTGGTGCTTTTCTTATTGTGAGGAACCTCCATACTGTTTTACATAGCAGCTGCAGCATTGTAGATCCCCATCAGCAGGGCAGTACTTGGTTTGGATTTTTGCATCTGTAGTCATCAGAGTTACGGAACTATAGTTTTCTTTTCTTGTAGTGTCTTTTTCTGATTTTGGTTTCAGGATAAAATGAGCCTCATAAAATATGTTTGGAAGGACTCCCTCAGCAACAGTTGTTTGGAAGAGTTTGAGAAGGACTATCATTAATTGTTCTTTAAATGTTTGGTGGAATTCACCAGTGAAGCCACTGGTCCTGGGCTGTGTGTGTGTGTGCACGTGCGTGTGTAGGTTTCTGATTACTGATTTAATCTACTTTCTATTTATAAATATTTTTTCTTGTTCATGTCAGTCTTGGTAAGTTATGTTTGTAGGAATTTATCCATTTTTTTCTAGATTATCCAACTTTGGTGTATGTTCATTGAAGTCTCAGGAATCCTTTTCATTTCTGTGGCATCAGTTGTAATGACTCCTCTTTCATTTCTGACTTTATTTGCACCTTCTTCTTTTTCTAGTTCATATACTAAAAAGTTTGTCAATTTTGTTGATAATTTCAAAAAACCAATTCTTAGTTTTTAAAAAAAAATTTTTAATTGATTTTAGAGAAAGAGGGAGAGTAAAACATCGACTTGTTGTTCCATTTATTTATGTGTTCATTGTTTGATTCTTGTATGTGCCCTAATGGGAGATCAAACCCAGAACCTTGGCGTATCTAACCAATGCTCAACCAACTGAGCCAGGGGGGCCCTTCGCTAAATATTTTCTTTTGCTCTTGTCCCCTCTATCCCCTGGTGGGGGACTCAAGAGAAAATCCATTTAGAAATAAATAAATAAGCTATATTTTTTCTGCACATTAAACATACTGAATATATTTGCAACTTTGATCCGTACTTATCTTTATTCATTCAAAACTGTAACTCTATCTGACATTTCTTCTTAAAGGTTTTTCTTCCTCGCTACAATAATTTTAGGAAATTTCTTATTATAAAAATCGTGCTGTGGTTTCAGCTGTTGTGTTTCTGTGAAGCACGCGCGCGCGAATGCGCGTGTTTTTAGCCATTATTTTTTTTAAATAAATATTCTATCCCTTTCTCTCTTCTCCCAGAAGTCTCTTAGACTTTCTTTAGTCTTTTTCTTTGTTCCTTTGATTGGATAATTTCTAATAACCTGTCTTCAAGTTTGATGTTTCTTTCCTCTGCCCGGTTGAACATGGTATTGAATTCCTCTTGTGAAGTTTTCAGTTTATCATATTCTTCAGCTACAAAATTACTTAGTGTTTAAAATATGTTTTTGTCTCTTTGTTGTTTTTGACTCATTTTCTAGAGCATGTGAAGCATCTTTATGATGGTTATTTTGAATTGATTGTCAGATAGTTCATATACCTCCATTTCATTAGGATAATTTTCTGGAGATCTATTTTATTTTTTTGTTTGGGCCATATTTCCCTTTTTCTTCATGTTTTGTAATTTTGTGTTGGAATCTACACACGTGAAAACAGCTCCCTTTCCTCCCTTTATTGCCTGGTTTTGTATAGGAGAGGACTCTCACAAATGAGCCTACTAGAGATCCTAGGGGGCCGCTGAAATCCTTTGGTGAGGGCTTATGTGTGTGATTTCCCTGGGCTTGTGTGTGCAATTTCTCAGAGGGCCTTGCTGGCTCCCTCTGGTGCCTGTTTGTGGCACTGCAAGTTCTCTGGTGCCAGAGCAGCAAGGCTTCCGTGCCCTCTTGTACTCAAATGCCACCAGCCATCCAGAGGATGTGGGCTCCTCATCAGCGCCCCACATCAGGTGAGACAGATACCATTCCTTTGTGTGGCCCCATGAAAAGCTTCTGGTGCACCAGAATCACTTTCTACTCTTCTCCCTCTCTCCCAAAGGAGAGAAGCCTTGAGTTATGTATGTGCCTTCTCCCAGTCATGCCAAGTCGCCTGGGCTACAGGATGCCACTCTTCTTTATCTTTGGTCTCAGCAGCATTCAGACATTCATACTGTGCCAGTTCCTACAGTGCTGCAAGTGAGGCACGGCAGAAGCCACGTCTTCGGGAACCCCCCACGGAGTTGGAGTGCTGGATGCACTCTCTACTCTCTCCCTCCTGAAGGAAAAGCCAGAGGCCAGGTGTTCTTGCCTGGCACTGAGCTGTGGTGGCTTAGGAGAGGCTGGCACGGGGAAAGTGAACTTGTTCTTCCTCTCCGTTTCAGTGCAGCTGTTTTCAGCTCTGTGCTCCCTTAGAGTGTTACAGCTTCTCAACTAGCCCTTGGAGGCTGCACGTCCTTGTTGACACAGGGTTCCTGTGGTAGAGCGAGCACTGGCACTTTCTTCTGCCATAGCACTGTCACTCCCTCCTCCCCTTAGAAGTGCAATGACTTCAGAAACTCGCTCACGTATTTACTGTGACCCTGTATGTTTCCCACTTCACCACGAAAGACTTTGAAGCCACACTGAGTATAAATAATCACAGTCTGCCCTTGGTAAAGCTACGTTCTGTTCCTTATTCACTTTTCTTTTTCTTTTTCTATCCTAGCACAGTTTGCCGTTTGGGAATGGAGGGGAAAATGAGCCTGGTAATAGCAATATAGGTTGGCCTTTGTATTTAGGTTTCTTAATTTCTAGAGTACATGATGATGCATTATTTGAGACTAAAACACAAGAGGAAGTGCTTAAACTTTCCACATAGGAAGTTCTACAAGCAAAATAGGTTTGTTATCATATTATCCTTTTTATTTTTTAAATGTTTTTATTGATTTCACAGAAGAAGGGAGAGAAAGAGAGAGATGGAAATATCAATGATAAGAGAGAATCATTGATCGGCTGCCTCCTGCACACCCTGATTGGTGATCTAGCACCCAACCCAGGCATGTGCCCTGACCAGTATCAAACCATGACCTCCTGGTTCATAGGTCAATGCTCAACCACTGAGCCATGCCAGCCAGGTCATATTATCCTTGTTAAAAGACTGTATGTCTATTTTAAAGGCTTTAAGTACTTGATAAACTAATCAAATCATTGCTAGACTCTCATATTGATGATGGTAATAGTCAGACTTATTATAATGGCAAGTATA